CGGACCAGTCGATCTTATCTGATCAGTGGGTCACACATTCACTGGCATTTACTCAATTGCTGTCTTGCTAGAAGTGTGCTGACATCACAGTTCAGATGGCCTTCCAAACTGCTACATCATCACCCCCTCCTGCAGAATGCAGGCACTGTACTTCCCATTTTACGGACTCGAGTCTGACTAACCAGACTTGCCTTACCTTTGATGAGTTCTGAGAGTTTTTCTAGTCCCAGAGCCAGGCCTTGGAACTCGTCTGGTGCTTGTCTGGTGAACCAGGCTGTTGCTACTGGCAGCCTGCTGGCCAACATAACCATAACAGCCTGATTAGTCTGGCACCTGATGATATTGTCCAGTTTCCTCTTGAAGACTTCTACACTTACCCAGCAGTATTTTTGATATCTTCTGGTGAGATGATGAATAATTTGGGCTCACAGATGTTGAGACAGTGTTCTCTTATTGTGCCCACAGCTCCTCTGCTTTTCACTGGGTTTATTTTGCACATCCTCCATATCTCTCACTCTGCTATGTTGTTGTGGCAGTGTGCAAATTTGGGACCAGACCTTCAAGTACTTTCCAGGTTTATATTATCATGTAGCTCTTACTCCTCCACTCAAGTGAATAATTTAAATGATTTATTGGCTCCATGTGGGCCATAAATGATCTCTCTATCTGTTCCAGCTCCGATATATCTCCTTCCCTGGACAAGGCCATAAACAGTGAACTTTCTAAATGAGAGAGCACAAGCGATTTAAAAAGTGTCACCATTGGCACTACACACTGTATTTCCTATCTTTTGGAAGTTTTCATTATCCGTCCCCATCATCTTTTTTGGCTGTTGTAACATTTGCCTTATTGTGTTCTTTGAAAGAAAGGTCAGCTAACGTAATTATGTACTCCCAGGTCTTTCACGTGTTCCCTTCATTCTATTTGATGGTTCTCTTGGGCTCTGAATACAGTGTCCCTTCTGAGCTCTATTCTTTCCATATCTATACAGCTGAGAATTATCACCATTGAACATCATGTTGTTCTCCACTGCCCACTGGAAAACCTACTTATATCTTCCTGCAATTTTTCAGTGTTTTCAACTGAGGTGATTTTCATGCTTGCTTTAATGTCATCTGCAAATGATGATTCAAAACTGTGTGGCTGTTTTTATCTACATATGTCTGCTATCAGGATAAGAAAAAGCAGAAGTGCCAGGCCAGTGCCTTGCAAAAATGCTCCTTGGATTTTCATGTTGAGTTCCATTGGAGGTACCCAGAGCATGGAACCTCTTCATCCCCGTACTGAAATAAACGTTGTGTTCCACAGTATTATTCTTATCTTTTATGTTGCCTTAGCCAGTATGCAGTACTTGTCTTAACTTGAGTCTGGTTGAGCTAGATTCTAACACTTGGTATATTGTATGTAATATATTGAGGGTTACATGTACAGATAGCTCTTCAGCTAGTGTCAAGTGACTTTTGTACTAAAAAATTGCAAGCAAATTTAGCATCATATGTTTTCTTTGTAACTGGTTTTCTTCCCCAGTTCTTTACCTATTCTTTCATTGAAGGGTTCCTTTGAAATGCTCAAATATCGCTATCCCATCTTTAAATGTGTAAGCAGTTATGCCTATACACTGGCTGATCTGGTGTGCATCAGGGATGTTTGGCTCTCTGCTTGGATCCGGGAATGGAACCCCTTAAACTTTTATTGTGGTGAAAATAGCATACCGTAACTGTACGGTGAGCCCTCTAATTAACAGACTAATAGGGGAAACAGGGTGTACAATATTCCCAGTTGTCCAAAACTTTTGAATTATTAAATTAATTTTTCATGATTATCTGGTTATCTACTGAACAGACAGACTTGGTTATATGATCAGGTCTATCTGTTCAGAAGACAACCAAACACTAAGAATGTGGGTATTGTAACCTGTAGTACTAGAAATAACAAAAAAGGCACAATACCGTGACTGGAACGATACACAAATAAACCGCACATAAAAGAGAGAAGCTTACGACGACGTTTCGGTCCGACTTGGACCATTGACAAAGTCACACTAACCAGAAGTGGAGCAGGATGGCTATATATAGGCAGGAAGAGGTGGTGGTAGTAGTAGTAGTAGTAGTACAAGAATGGTATATAATACCGACAAGATGAAATTAAGACACATGCGCAACACCCGGGCATCCCTATCGTAGACGTTTCGCCATCCAGCCATCCACTGGATGGCGAAACGTCCACAACAAAGACAACCAGACACCGCACATGTGTCTTAATTTCATCAGTAGTTGTAGTAGTAGTAGTACAGTGGACTCCCGCATAACGATATTAATCCGTTCCTGAGAGCTCATTGTTATGCGAAATTATCGTTATGCGAATGAATTTTCCCCATAAGAAATAATGGAAATCAAATTAATCCGTGCAAGACACCCAAAAGTATGAAAAAAAAAATTTTACCACATGAAATATACATTTTCCTACACACAAAGAGAAGGATACATGCACAATAGTAGAGTAGTACATGCACAATATATATTGTGCATGTACTACTCTACTAAATGAAGAATAAATGACACTTACCTTTATTGAAGATGCAGCAATGACTGATGAGACACTGTGTCCTGGGAGTGCCTTTTCCTCCTGAGTACTGTAGGTCCTGTTTGGCATTTTCTTCCGGAACAGGCCTTATCACACTGTGTATGCCACTACGATTCTTAAATCTCTCAAACCAACCTTTGCTGGCTTTAAATTCACCAATATGAACACTAGTTCCAGGCATTTTTCCCTGTTGTCCTGGGTGTTAGTCGACTGGTGTGGGTTGCATCCTGGGAGACAAGATTAAGGACCCCAATGGAAATAAGTTAGACAGTCTTCGATGACACTGACTTTTTTGGGTTATCCTGGGTGGCTAACCCTCTGGGGTTAATTGTTTCTTGGTATTCTCAATAAGCCACACCAACAACAGTGCTACAGCAGCCAGCAGCAGCGCAGCAGCTGACAGTGCTACAGCAGCAGCAGATGGTGCTACAGCAGCAGCAGATGGTACTACAGCAGCAGCTGACGGTGGTACAGCAGCAGCAGCAGCTGACAGTGCTACAGCAGCAGCAGCTGACAGTGCTACAGCAGCAGCAGCAGCTGACAGTGCAGCAGCAGCTGACAGTGCTACAGCAGCAGCTTACAGTGCTACAGCAGCAGCTTACAGTGCTACAGCAGCAGCAGACTGTGCTACAGCAGCAGCAGACGGTACTGCAGCAGCAGCAGCAGCTGACGGTGGTACAGCAGCAGCAGCAGCTGACGGTGCTACAGCAGCAGCAGCAGCTGACAGTGCTACAGCAGCAGCAGCATCAGCAGTTGACCATGGTACCACAGTATTTCGATAATATTTCTCACCCTTTTTACCACAGGGTTGGCACTAGAAGCTTTTTTGGGGCCCATGGTCACTTATTTTGCAGATAAAATCACCAAAAACACTGTAATAATACGAAATGCTCCGATTGTATGCTTGGATGTTACCGCGGAGGCTGGCTTGTAAACATTGCCACCAGCGGAACATGTGAGGCTGGCTCAGGCCTCACATAGACGTGTCTCAGACGAATAGCATTGAGCGAGTTTTTTAGCGCTATGCGAGGCAAAATTTTAGTGATAAAATGTATTGCTATGCGGATTTAACGTTATGTTATGCCAACGGTATGCGGGGGTCCACTGTAGTAGAAGAGGTAGTAGTAGTGGTAGAAGTGGGAAATAAGGAGGACGAGCCAGTCAAATGCAAAGGAAGGGGAGCACTGCAAGAGAGCTAGGTGCCCACTGAGGGAGAGCAAGCGCACAGAGGTGCGTGAAAGGGGAAGTGGTGAAATAAATGAAGAAGGAACAGAAACACGAGACAGAAGAGAGAAAGACAACCCAGAGGAGAAAAGGAAAGAGGAAAGGGGAAGAGGGAGAAGAAGAAGAAGAAAAAAAAAATAATAATGAGGAGTCAGGTTAAGTCACGGGTGTTCTGAAGTTTGGAGCATTTTACAATGTAGTGGGAGAGGAAGGCATCTACAGAGACGAAACGTCTTCGATAGGGATGCCCGGGTGTTGCGCATGTGTCTTAATTTCATCTTGTCGGTATTATATACCATTCTTGTACTACTACTACTACCACCACCTCTTCCTGCCTATATATAGCCATCCTGCTCCACTTCTGGTTAGTGTGACTTTGTCAATGGTCCAAGTCGGACCGAAACGTCGTCGTAAGCTTCTCTCTTTTATGTGCGGGTTATTTGTGTACTGTAGTACTAGAGTACAGTACTGTATTGTATAGTAATTTTTGAGTACTGTACATAATTTTCAATAATTTTATTAGTTTTTTTTGTGGTGGAGAGACGAGGTGTAAACTGCCATGATCAGTAGTGGTGACTCAAAATAACTTTTATTCTGAGTCAGAGGAGCTTTAGAGCTCATCTGACAAAGGAGAAATTGGGCAGTTTCTTAACACCACACTCCTCACATACATGAGCCACTGAGATGCTAGGTTTATTTTTTAAAGTAAATGAACCACACAGAAGCCATTCTAAATTGCAATGTACTGTACTTAATATGTTACTAAAGTCATACAAAACACCAAAACCTGGGAAAATTAGAGATTGAATGACGAGTGTATGCATGAGTGAGCACAAACAAACTGGTGTGAGGTAGCTTATAGCTCACAGAATGGTGAAAACAGACTGGTCCTGGACATAGCTGCTCTGGCCCATATTGGATGAACATTGAAGTCATTGGACTTAGTCAGATACGTACTTCAGAAGACAACCGAACACTATCGCGATGGACAAAATCTGGAATTATAGGCTTTTGTTCATTTTGTCCGATACGTCCTACATTTGTCCAGGCCAGTTTTTTGTCTGAAATTACCAAAATCTGTTAATGAGAGATTTTACTATATTTTATTTCATGCATGGGTTCCATGTTGGGCTTCACTGTTTATATCTATCCAATTATGTACTTTATATTTTTCTCCTTATTTTGATTTACAGAATCTTCACGTGGCCAAGCATTATGGCAAACTTTGGAGTCAAGTCAACTGGGGTGGGCAGTAGTGGGTTTACTTTTGGTGCTCAGCCTATTACAGGTAAATATTTAAAATAGAATTTGTGTTCAGTTGTCTTTCAAACTTCTTGGATCTTGATTATCTCATAATATCATGCTTAATACAGTATTCCATTCTGCTGTCAGATTTTTAATTTGAGTAAATTTAAATAAAATGCTTATGCAAAATCTGCTATTTAATTATCAAACCCTAAGAAAGTTTTGTATTTAGTTTAGAGAAAGTCATTGATTAAATCTGTTGGAAATATTGTAATATTGTTTTATACAAAACTTTATATACCACTGATAACTATTTTACTTGCAGTTATTACTTTAATTGTTTATGTTAGAGTATCTCCAGTTTTTGGCATATTTCCTAATTCTTTTTGGAGTCAAACATGTTTTGACACTTATCAGTACTTTTGTATTAATATTTTTTAATATTGTATACTGTACAATAATGGAATTTGTATTTGTCTTGTTCTTCAGGGACAAGCACTCAAAGTAGTGGTTTTAGCTTTGGACAACCACAGACATCAGCAGCATCTCCTGTTACTAAAAGTTTCTTTTCGATACCTACAAGTACAACAACTCCAGCTGCAGGATTCAGCTTTGGCAACTTTGGCACTACAACTAGCACTACTGGTATTCAGCCAGGTAAGTGTCTTCAAAGTCTAGACCACTGATGTATGTAGTTTTAATTACCAATTTGAAACTTCAGGAGAAGACATGTGCTTGTGGTGGTCTGTTTTCTGTAATAAATTAATCATACTTTTTTTTATAATTTTCAGTAGTTGTGCTGATTACCAGCTACCTCAGCATGTTGGCAAACCTAGAGAATTATTTCAAAATAGGGTGATGGTGTAAAATTGAAATTGCATAAAATCAAACCACATTAAGTGGAAGGGGGGTAAACCTGTGTCAGTTACCTCTTAGTTTACATTGTCCTCAGAAGTATGGGGAGAGCTTCCTAGTGGAGATATAACTTGGTGGCTGTAGAAGAAGTGGTCAGCTTTCATGTGTGGTGTATTAGAAGTGGTAATTATTATTATTTTTATTATCACACTGGCCGATTCCCACCAAGGCAGGGTGGCCCGAAAAAGAAAAACTTTCACCATCATTCACTCCATCACTGTCTTGCCAGAAGGGTGCTTTACACTACAGTTTTTAAACTGCAACATTAACACCCCTCCTTCAGAGTGCAGGCACTGTACTTCCCATCTCCAGGACTCAAGTCCGGCCTGCCGGTTTCCCTGAACCCCTTCATAAATGTTACTTTGCTCACACTCCAACAGCACGTCAAGTATTAAAAACCATTTGTCTCCATTCACTCCTATCAAACACGCTCACGCATGCCTGCTGGAAGTCCAAGCCCCTCGCACACAAAACCTCCTTTACCCCCTCCCTCCAACCTTTCCTAGGCCGACCCCTACCTCACCTTCCTTCCACTACAGACTGATAACACTCTTGAAGTCATTCTGTTTCACTCCATTCTCTCTACATGTCCAAACCACCTCAGCAACCCTTCCTCAGCCCTCTGGACAACAGTTTTGGTAATCCCGCACCTCCTCCTAACTTCCAAACTACGAATTCTCTGCATTATATTCACACCACACATTGCCCTCAGACATGACATCTCCACTGCCTCCAGCCTTCTCCTCGCTGCAACATTCATCACCCATGCTTCACACCCATATAAGAGCGTTGGTAAAACTATACTCTCATACATTCCCCTCTTTGCCTCCAAGGACAAAGTTCTTTGTCTCCACAGACTCCTAAGTGCACCACTCACCCTTTTCCCCTCATCAATTCTATGATTCACCTCATCTTTCATAGACCCATCCGCTGACACGTCCACTCCCAAATATCTGAATACATTCACCTCCTCCATACTCTCTCCCTCCAATCTGATATCCAATCTTTCATCACCTAATCTTTTTGTTATCCTCATAACCTTACTCTTTCCTGTATTCACCTTTAATTTTCTTCTTTTGCACACCCTACCAAATTCATCCACCAATCTCTGCAACTTCTCTTCAGAATCTCCCAAGAGCACAGTATCATCAGCAAAGAGCAACTGTGACAACTCCCACTTTGTGTGTGATTCTTTATCTTTTAACTCCACGCCTCTTGCCAAGACCCTCGCATTTACTTCTCTTATAACCCCATCTATAAATATATTAAACAACCACGGTGACATCACACATCCTTGTCTAAGGCCTACTTTTACTGGGAAATAATTTCCCTCTTTCCTACATACTCTAACTTGAGCCTCACTATCCTCGTAAAAACTCTTCACTGCTTTCAGTAACCTACCTCCTACACCATACACCTGCAACTTCTGCCACATTGCCCCCTTATCCACCCTGTCATACGCCTTTTCCAAATCCATAAATGCCACAAAGACCTCTTTAGCCTTATCTAAATACTGTTCACTTATATTTTTCACTGTAAACACCTGGTCCACACACCCCCTACCTTTCCTAAAGCCTCCTTGTTCATCTGCTATCCTATTCTCCGTCTTACTCTTAATTCTTTCAATAATAACTCAACCATACACTTTACCAGGTATACTCAACAGACTTATCCCCCTATAATTTTTGCACTCTCTTTTATCCCCTTTGCCTTTATACAAAGGAACTATTCATGCTCTCTGCCAGTCCCTTGGTACCTTACCCTCTTCCATACATTTATTAAATAATTGCACCAACCACTCCAAAACTATATCCCCACCTGCTTTTAACATTTCTATCTTTATTCCATCAATCCTGGCTGCCTTACCCCCTTTCATTTTACCTACTGCCTCACGAACTTCCCCCACACTCACAACTGGCTCTTCCTCACTCCTACAAGATGTTATTCCTCCTTGCCCTATACACGAAATCACAGCTTCCCTATTTTCATCAACATTTAACAATTCCTCAAAATATTCCCTCCATCTTCCCAATACCTCTAACTCTCCATTTAATAACTCTCCTCTCCTATTTTTAACTGACAAATCCATTTGTTCTCTAGGCTTTCTTAACTTGTTAATCTCACTCCAAAACTTTTTCTTATTTTCAACAAAATTTGTTGATAACATCTCACCCACTCTCTCATTTGCTCTCTTTTTACATTGCTTCACCACTCTCTTAACCTCTCTCTTTTTCTCCATATACTCTTCCCTCCTTGCATCACTTCTACTTTGTAAAAACTTCTCATATGCTAACTTTTTCTCCCTTACTACTCTCTTTACATCATCATTCCACCAATCGCTCCTCTTCCCTCCCGCACCCACCTTCCTGTAACCACAAACTTCTGCTGAACACTCTAACACTACATTTTTAAACCTACCCCATACCTGAAGATTGAGACACTTATGCAACATATGGGAATCTTTATTCAGGAAACGTTTCGCCACACAGTGGCTTCATCAGTCCGATACAAAGTAGAAAGGCGTAAGGAGAGGAGGAGTTTGAGGTAATCAGTCCCTCAGCCTGGAGTTGATGTGTTCAGTCCATCAATCTTGTAGAATGTACAGCATAGGGCCGTAGATGTGGCTTATATACTGTAGTGAGGTGAGGCGAAGCAGGAGGAGGTGAGGTCCTAGTGGTACCATCCACTAGTCGAAGTAGGTCTTCGTCCAAAGGTTGGACAAGTGTTGAAGAATTCTTTGTAACAAGATTCCATAATGCTGCAGTGTCAGACAGTTGTGATGAATGGTTTGAAAAAACCGACAAGTTGAAGATTGAGACACTTATGCAACATATGGGAATCTTTATTCAGGAAACGTTTTGCCACACAGTGGCTTCATCAGTCCAATACAAAGTAGAAAGGTGTAAGGAGAGGAGGAGTTTGAGGTAATCAGTCCCTCAGCCTGGAGTCGGTGTGTTCAGTCCATCAGTCTTGTAGAATGTACAGCATAGGGCCGTAGACGTGGCTTATATACTGTAGTGAGGTGAGGCGAAGCAGGAGGAGGTGAGGTCCTAGTGGTACCATCCACTAGTCGAAGTAGGTCTTCGTCCAAAGGTTGGACAAGTGTTGAAGAATTCTTTGTAACAAGATTCCATAATGCTGCAGTGTCAGACAGTTGTTACAAAGAATTCTTCAACACTTGTCCAACCTTTGGACAAAGACCTACTTCGACTGGTGGATGGTACCACTAGGACCTCACCTCCTGCTTCGCCTCACCTCACTACAGTATATAAGCCACGTCTACGGCCCTATGCTGTACATTCTACAAGATTGATGGACTGAACACATCGACTCCAGGCTGAGGGACTGATTACCTCATTCTCCTCCTCTCCTTACGCCTTTCTACTTTGTATCAGACTGATGAAGCCACTGTGTGGCGAAACGTTTCCTGAATAAAGATTCCCATACGTTGCATAAGTGTCTCAATCTTCAACTTGTCGGTTTTTCAAACCATTCATCACTACCCCATACCTCTTCGACCCCATTGCCTATGCTCTCATTAGCCCATCTATCCTCCAATAGCTGTTTATATCTTACCCTAACTGCCTCCTCTTTTAGCTTATAAACCTTCACTTCTCTCTTCCCTGATGCTTCTATTCTCCTTGTATCCCATCTACCTTTTACTCTCAGTGTAGCTACAACTAGAAAGTGATCTGGTATATCTGTGGCCCCTCTATAAACATGTACATCCTGAAGTCTACTCAACAGTCTTTTATCTACCAATACATAATCCAATAAACTACTCTCATTTTGCCCTACATCATATCTTGTATACTTATTTATCCTCTTTTTCTTAAAATATGTATTACCTATAACTAAACCCCTTTCTATACAAAGTTCAATCAAAGGGCTCCCATTATCATTTACACCTGGCAACCCAAACTTACCTACCACACCCTCTCTAAAAGTTTCTCCTACTTTAGCATTCAGGTCCCCTACCACAATTACTCTCTCACTTGGTTCAAAGGCTCCTATACATTCACTTAACATCTCCCAAAATCTCTCTCCTCAGTTACAAAGGCTGTGTGCTGTAAGTAGAATGTTAAAATATTCTCTTTACTTGATAAATAAAACACTTATGTACAGTACAGAATCCTTTGTCCAAAATTCCAAAATCAGAAAGAATCCAAAATCCAAATGATTTTCAAGTGTTGACATAATGAGTCTCAAATGGATCATTCAGCACAAGATGTTGAGTCAAGATACACAAGTTTTATATTTGTACTAGACCCAGTTTGTTATCAACAGCAATTACTCTCTGATTATTGCGTATTTTGTGCCTCTTTGGTGTGAAAACATTGTTGAAAATATAGACAAAGCCTATGGGTAATAGTGAAAAGAAAAAGAGGAAGTAATTATGTTTATCTATGTCACAGAAAGTCAAATTGTTGGAAAAAATTGACAGTGGTGTAAGTGTGAAGCATCTGACTGAGGAGTTTGGCGTTGGAACAACCACTGTCTACCACCTAAAGAAACAGGACAAATTATTAAAGTTCTATGCTGAAAGTAATGAACAGAAGTTAATGAAAAATAGAAAAAACATTGCATAGGGGGAAAAATGATGTATTGATGGAGTGGATTGGTCAGTGTCAGAGTAAGCATATACTGCTTAAGGGAATGCTGATTATGAAACAAGCAAAAATCTATAATGACAAACTGAATATTGAAGGTAACTGTGAATATTCAGCAGTTGGTTACAAAAA